TTTATATAAAATTCTACTTCGGTCAGGAAATTATCCTTATTCAAATAATTTAAGGAGGTCCTTTCGCCACCAATGTTAAATAAAAAATATTAGATTATGGCTAAAATTAATTTTTTTCTAATAGTTGAAGTCCTTATTTATCTAATAGTGAACTTTTAACTATACCTTACCGTGTAAATTTTTGAGAAAAAAAATTAAAAATGTGAATATTTGTGTCTTACGAGAAAGTAAGACTTCAACAACAATTTTTGAATTATAATTAAGTATACTATTATTTATTGATTAGACGGAGTAGAAAAAAACTAAAAATAAGGTTTTTGAAATATTTAGGTTCTGTTTTTTACAATAAAATATATAGGTTACCGTAGAATTTATTGAGAAATTAATATTTAAAAATCACAAAAAATCTTCAACTATGTTACTTGAAATTTTTTTTTAATATTATATTCTCAATAAATTCTACGGTAACCTATTTATTTTATTGTAAAAAACAAAACCTAAATATTTCAAAAACCTTATTTTTAGTTTTTTTCTACTCCATCTAATCAATAAATAATAGTAAAATTCGAGAATTGTTGTTGAGGTCTTACTTTCTCGTAAGACACTGTACAAATACTTACATTTTTAAAAAAAAAATTCTCAAAAATTTGCACGGTAAGATATAGTTAAAAGTTCACTATTAGATAAATAAGGACTTCAACTATTAGAAAAAAAAAAATTTTAGTCATAATCTAATATTTATTATTTAACATTGGTGGCGAAAGGGGTGGCGAAAGGACCTCCTTAAGTACGTGTATTAAAAGCAAAATCGTAACTGGGGCGGGAGAGGCCTGAATTCAAATCTGGGCTGGGGACTAATTAAATTAAATCTTTTTTTCATATTTATTTTAATTTATAAATTAGTTAAGGTCATAAATTATTTCAAAATTAGTTATTATGTCTCAATAACCTAACATTTTTTAAATTTGTAGATTTTTGTTTGTGGGTCGTAGAAAAAATATACCGTACAACTCAAGTGGATTGTCCATATCGTACTCAGACGATTTGAGGATTCCCCGTACGGCGTCGTGCTCAATCTTCGTCTTCGTGTGATATGGCCATCATATTCACTCTTGTTGCACAAATTACTATTTTTTAATTCTATATACATATATTTGGTTTTGATTTATATCTTTTGTATTATAATATACATTTATTTTGATTAAAGAAATATTATACAAATTACTGATTTTCTTAAAACAACTATATACCATAAATTCAGAATAATACAAAATTTTTATTTGTTTTGATTTGAACTAGTGGTAGGTATATATAAAAGATAATTTATAAAGAAATCAAGATCAATTATGGCAAGTATGGAACTTCCTTTTATTTTATAGTTATTTAAGTAAGATTTTATGGTAAATTTGTATTAATTAAATAATATAAATTGATTGATTTAATGGTGAATATAAATTTGATTTTACATAATTTAAAAAGCTTGTTATTCCTTGATTTTTGAATAATAAACTCAATTCTCATTTCTCTCTTCTTTATAGGTTAATATAGGTTAATTACAGCCGACTAATAACCACGAATATCGTATGGTACCTAACAAATTTCTTAAATGCTGTAATCTAGTTCCTTAGACAACAATAAACTGCCTTTGAACACTTTTTATACAGGTATGATCCAGGGAGCTTTTAAGTTATCTTGACAATACTACAGCAAATAAATACTTGACTATGACTAGACAGAATCTGCACCTGATCACAGGCATTCTGACTGGACATTGGCAACTACGGAAGCTTCTTCATGTCATGGGGCTGGCAGAATCAGCACTCTGCAAGGGATGCGAATAAGAAGATGAGACCATCGGTACAGGTATGATCGAAGTAACACTATACTTCTAGCCTAGCAAAGATAAAACTGGCAACGCGGCGTTATTGAGTCAATTTCACTTACGTGTTGTTTTACCAGCTATTTTCAAATTAAATGAAATTAAAATATTTTTTAAATAAGTGTTAAAAGTGTTTATTAACATAGAACCGAATATTTGTACTTTTTATTTGTTATAAACTGTGTAATAGTGATTTTTGTTGTTAAACCTGTATCTCTCGTGTAATGTCTGCATTGGATATCTTCCCGTAGTGTTGTTAACCCGACTTTTAATCGTTTAATTAAAATAAGTTTTAAAAATTGTCTGGTGGCCCGTTGTTTGCCCGTTACATGGTAGATAACAACTTAAATAATTATGACTAGTACATGCTGTATTCCTGGTTTTAAGTTCAATTATTATACTAGTATTCATCTGGATGCTTTTCCTCGCTTGGTTTATTTATGGCTAGAAGTAGAGTCGACACATGTTTCCAAAAAATTTTGTTTACATTATCCTAATTGTTATAAAGTAAGTTTTTCCGATATTTATAATTCTTCATTTGCTTGACATTGATTATTTTGATTTAATTCTTTTTAGGAGGAATCAGAAACTACCCTCTTTGCTTATTAAAATTTCCTTGTCAACTCGTTTGTTTTTTAACAAACTTTATTTAAATATTCTTCTAGTGGTATGGATATTATTTGTATCCAATTGGAAATTAGTGATTGTAGTTTAATTAAATTTTTTGTATAATTGATGTTATTAAAGGTTGATACAACTTCTTTTTTAAATTTGTTAATTTTTCAAATGTGTTACAACCTTTTTGATATACAAATTTTAAAAATGCTGTAACAATTTTATTTGCCGAATATACATTAGATTTATATTGTTCAGTGTGATACTATCAAATAAAACTATCTAGATTTATTTTCATTAATGATAGTCCTCTGCGTCGACATAATTGGCCCATATCTAAGCGCGCTACTGAACAAAGTCTTTTGTAAAGGGCTGCACTAACTTAATTTTTCATCGTTAGCTAACGTAGCTTGAACGCTAACGTTATTACAGCAATAGTCATCAATCAAAAGGCAGTTTTTCTTTACGGTTTTTTTTTTCTTCTTCGTTTCCACTTTTTGTCGTTTCATTCATATTTAAATGTCAAGCCGGGTGATTTGTTCGCTGGGATTCTAACCAATAAAATGGAAAATATAATTTTTTTTCCCATATTTAATTCTATGTTATTAATATGGAGAATCAATTTTAGTCAAATTAAGTGAAGGCCCATTTATTTTAAAAAATTTCAAGAGATTAACTAGACACTTTCAAAAAATGTTTATCAAATTCTAAGGTGAAATATATGTTTTTCGACACATACATGGAATTATCTATTTTATTCAAACTTGGGGTAGCCATGTGTGAGTTAATGGATTAAAAATGGTGGAATATTGATTTAGTTTAAGTGAAATTAACAAAACTAATCTACTAATATTTATTTATTCACACTAACAAAAAAATAATTAATCAAATTAATGTACCTACTGAATGAAAAAGCCGAAAATGAGTAAAAGGCAAAAAAGAAAGAGGAAAAACTTTGTTCATGAATATTGAAAAAATATGTTGGAACAAACCATCAACACTAAAATGGTAAAAGATAAAGAAATGACTATATAATACAATAAAAACCACAAAAAACTCTCCACCATAATCTCTTATCCACTAGAGATAAAACTATTGGATTACAATCTTGAAGGAATAGAGTCGAACTGAATATTTATTATTTTTTAAAAAAGGCATTAGTATTTATTAAGGGTTAAAAACATATTAAAATTAAAACGTCACATGTTAAAATAACGATACTAAAAATATTAATGATCCTACATTACAAAGTCAAAAAGTGCCAAAGTTTTTAATGTTTACAAAAGCAAAATTGAGACTGGCAATGAACATTGAAACTGTTTGAAGGATTCAAATTTAAAAAATAATTTTTAATTTATAGAGGTGCTGCCTCCATTAGAGAGTGGCCGAAACTGGCAGTTAATGATAATAAATTTCAAGAAATTATGTTTATAATAAGTAACTACAAAAATGGAAATATAACTAAAAAACGAAAAAATGAAAAATAAAATGAAAAATGTGGGGACATAGAACGAAAAATTTTTGACAAAAAAATTAATAGTTTTAGTTTAAAAATAATAATATTTATTTGTAAACCCATGAACAAATTACTAATCTGGGGAGGAAAAATTTAATTTTAGGAGGAGTTGGTACAATTGTGACAACGAAATGGCAGATCTAAGAAATTTTGAAAATTTGAAATTTGACAGTACTATGGGAAAAAAATTAAAAATTAAACCACGTGTAGAAAAGATACTTGAGGAATTTAGAAAAAACTAATAACGAAAAGGGCAATAATAATCAGCGAAATAAGAAATGAAAAATGAAGAAGAAATATAATTGTTGTTGAACAAAAGTTGTTTTCTATTTAAAGCAATGTGGAGACAATAGGAGAAGATACAAATTGGATCTGTGCATTTAAGCAAACTCCTGGGAAGGCTTTAAGATTTCTATTATTTCTAGGTTCTCAAAGCTATTAATAGTAAAGTTGTTGTGTGAGATTTTCAAATCTGCTGAAGATTCAAAGTCATGTCATGTGTCTCTAAGATGGTTGACAAAATGAAAAAAACCAGTATGGCTTTTGTTCAGACATCTAGTGTGCTCCGTCAGTCGTGTTTTTTTTGCTTTAAAAAGGTTACCTAATATAAGAAAAAAATGGCAAAACACTTTAGCTTTGTTTTCGTTTTTTCGCACCTAATAGGTATTTACTCATTGGGGGTGAAAAGTTGTAATATAATATGTCATGTCGCTTCTTTTTGGGATCAACATGATAGATAAGAAACGACTTTTAAAAATGTATTCATTAATTATTAAATATAAGGACAGTTTTATATGGTCTTCCAAGAGTCGAAGCTTTATTGAGGTGACATGCCATTGGCTGGAGAAGACCTCAAGCGATACTCCTTGGCATTAGCATGTCAAAGATTTGCGGGAACCCATTCATATGATCGAATTGCAGAGACTTTGGAGGACATTCACAAAAAATACAATTTAGAGATAACCAAATTATTAGCCACTGTAACTGACAATGGTTTCAACTTCGTTTGGTTTAAACATAGGTAATAAGGACCACTCTGCTGAAGAAGATAGTGATTCTGAAGAAAAAGAGGATGAAGTCGTGTTTAACCCTATCAGTTTATCAGACTCTGAGTCAACTAACAGTTCTAATTTTACACAGGAAAGATATTTGTCGCAACATAAGATGTGCCTAACATATCATAAATCTTATTGCAACTACCGATTACAAAAAAACACTCAAATATTTTTCAAATGTTCGAAGTTGTGGAATAAATGCGTACGGCCGAAATCGGCTGAAATAATACAAGAAGAACTTCGACATAAGTTAAAAGTTCCAGGAGTTACCAAATGGACCTCCACTTATGACACTGTTGTCCAAATGGTTTCCGTCAAAGATAAGTTAGGAGTTTTATGTGATAAAATTGTGATCCCGGTATTTAAGGAACATGAAATATCCTTTTTAGAGGAATATATCAAATTAATGCAGCCTCTGGCTGAAACATTAGATTTTTACAGGGAGAGCATAACACCTATTATGGGTATTTGCTTCCCTGCTTAGTTTCGATGAAAACTAAACTTCAAAAGCTGAAAATATCAGGCGATATAAAACAGCTAACAGTGCCTTTAGAGGTCATAATTAAGTCTGTTGGGCAAAGATTTAAAGAATATTTAAGTCTAAGTCCAGAATCCAAAACTGCCGTAATTGGCCCCGTGCCATCTTCCGCACCAGTCGAAAGACTTTTTTTCTCTTGCTGGAATTGCATGCTTTGAGCGACTATACTTTTGAAAAACTAGTCGTTGTTAAAGCAAATGGCAATTATTTAAACTCAAGATCCAAATAGATTTGTTAGTAATAGTACTGATGTATTTATAAGTTTTTGTGGTACTCTGTTTTTATTTTGTAAATAAAGGAATATTTATTTTATCTTCTACTATTTTATTTTTAAATTGTACGTAAAATATGAGCTGTTTATTAATAAATACTTTATTACTAATATCTAATATTACTAAGCTTTAAGCTTCGCACCAGCATAGATTCTCTATTATTTTTATGTACTTTAGTGTACTTATTTAAATCTAAATATACTTAAGTACATCTGTATATGTACTTAAGTATACAATGTATTTAAGTATCCTACATTGTACTGAAGTATATTTCAGAAGTTAACTAGGTACTCTATAAAGTACGTTTTTATGTACTTAAGGCTAATGTACTGAATTTTTAGGATTTATTTACTAGGTACTTAAATACCAAATAGATGTAATTGTACTTGTACTTACTCGCAATTTTTAAAAGTACTTGTACATTTTACTTGTACTTAAAGCAGCTCTGATGTGGGTGTAGAAAAACTACTCTATATGACATTTGTTATGGAATAATATTTTCGTTAAATAACAATTATATAAAAGTGATCTACAAAAACAAATTCTAAAATTTGTTTTATAGCTACGATAGTAAAGTTTTAACGAATTTTCCTGTCTAAGGGAGATTATATTCCTTATCGTAAATCCGCCATTATTAGAATTAAAAATACTTTTTTATTCTTCAGCAACTTATTACTTCCGAACAACGGGACATTCTTAGAAGTATCCGAAGGGAAAAAGTATTAAAACGAATTAGATATATGAACAGATATAAACGCTATGAACTGCAGTTCATTTTCTACCGAAAACTTTTTGATTCAATAAAAGGATTATTTCAACGAAAAGTTTTTGAACAGAAAAAGAAATTCGGCTGCGGCGATAAAAGTTCCCAAAAGGAAGTCAAGAAAACTGCTCGGGTAATTTATATTATAACTTCAGATATACTGTGTTTTCCGGAGTTCATAGAAACCTAGAGAATGTAAAATTACAAAAAAAAGAACCTTTACTGTTTAGTAGAAGAAATGTGTAGAAGAAAAATAACTCCATTTATTCGTAAATTTCAATTTGACACATGTTTAACAATACCTGTCTTGATCACAAATTTGGCTATATTATCAACATGTACAACATGGTTTTTCATTATATTTTGACCACTACTTATATTTATTATTCTTGTGAACACAAAATAAATTTCAAGTAAAACTTTGTTGTTTTGCCTCGAATTTTTCGGTCACAGTATGACCCATTATAAGCAACTTTTAATAAAAAAACAACTGTTTCCCTTATCTATGTATTACGCTTTCATAGTGCAATAAGTCACTAAATAATTAAAATATTATACCGGGTGTCCCATTATATTTTCCAACATTTAGCAAGCTTATAACTTTTAAACGAAATTACTTAAAAATATGTGGTTTTCATCAAAATGTATCAAATTATTCCAAGTTTTATTTCGGTCAATCCAAAATTAACAAATACGTTTTTAAAAAATCCTCATTTTGTTTTTCAGTAAACCGTAAGGGTGCTATTTACTCACAGCACACCAAACATTCACTTTAGGAGAGTCTCTTACACTTTCATAAAATTCATGTGGATTCTCTTCACACCAAATTCTACAATTGTGTCTATTGACTGCTCCATTGACATGTAAACTTGCTTCGTCCGACATTATTAAAAGGAGATCAGGATTGTTTCTTATCAAGTTCAATAACGTCTTACACATATACAGACGTTTTTCTTTGTCTCTCTCGTATAATTTTTGGTGTAATTGAATTTTGTAAGGTTTCAGTTTCAGTTCTTGTAAGATTCTATGAACTTTGGATCTACTCATATTAAAATGTGACACTAGTTTTCTGATAGATGACTTGGGAGATCTAGTAACAAACTCGTATACACCAATGGTATCATGTAAAAGATTATCATTGCCGATATTTCGTTTTTCTCGGGTTAGTGATCCATTATTTTTGAAAATGTTAAACCACTTCATTATTGTCTTGTATGTCGGTGCTGTTTTATTAAATTCTCTAAAAAATTTTCGTCTTGTTCGCATAATAGATTTTGTTTCAGCAAAATTAATTATGATACTTACCTTTTCTGTTTCAGAAAATAACATTTTAACGTAAAAAGAATCACTTGAAACCTTAGTCTAAGCTTTTAGAACAGTTAAAACAACAATTTTGACATTTATTACAAACGTACCAAAGCCTACTATAAAATTATTGATGAGAGTTATTGTTAATTATTGATTTTGCAGGCTTTTTCAGAAAATTTAATTGTTCAGTCATTTCTTCATCGATTTCAAAAAACTTTATATCGCCAGATAGCTAAAAGGACTGGCTTTCGGAGCATTAAAAAATATACGGGGTGTTCCATTAAAAACTAACAAATATGTCTTTAAAAAACCGCCATTTTGTTTTTCAGTAAACGGGAAGTGTTAAATAATTTTGGATTTACCGAAATAAAACTATTTCGGTGAAAACGGCATGTTTTTAAGTAGGTACTTTCGTTTAAAAGTTATAAGCTTGCTAAATGTTGGAAAATATAATGGGACACCCGGTATATTTGTAATCAGGAAATGCAAGTCTACTTAAAATGACAAAAATATATAGGGTATCCAAATAAAGCAATTTACGTTTTTATTTATTCGTTTTATTTTTCTGATTTGGAAAATAGAGAAGAAAAGATCATCATTAGACAGTTAACAACTCTCTAATAATTTGAGAACAGATAGAAAATCCGAGACTTCTAGAATAGCTATAGCTTTTGCTGAAAAATATAAATTGTTTTGGTACCTTAAAAACTGTTGCTTCTTGGGTATCAGGAATAAAATAAGCACTCATTTCGATTTATTGTGGTAAATTTCATGTAAAAAATCGGATCGACATTGCTTTGACTGTCGTAACCATTGAAAAATCTTCCTAATTGGTATTTAGACATTTTGAAGTTTAAACTATCAAACAATTGTATTTGTATTTACCCAATATGCTTACACTCGTTTTATCAACGTAAATATAACGTTGTGGTATAAAAAAAGTTATTGGTTGAAAATACGTTAAAATTTTAGTTGAAAAATTATACTTACAAAAAATACTACTTTCTAACGTATTTTTTTAGCTATTTTTAACTGAATGTTGAAAATTTATTAAAATAATACGTTTTTTCATAATGTTATTTTCTTATTAATAATTAACGTTTATTTTTTATTTCGCTTAATACTATATTTAAACCTATAGTTGATTTTTTTGCAATTAATACGTATCTTATTATTAACATTATTTTAAGTTACATAAAAATCGTATTGAAAACGTTGTTGTATTAAAACATTGTAACGTTTGATTTATTTTTTAAACTAAAAATGTACGTTATTTCAATATTAATTAATTAACTATATTTTAATATTATTTTTAAACGTTTTTATGTAACTAAAAGTTAATAGTTTTGTTAAATATACGTATATTATTAACGTTAGTTTAAATTAAATACATGTCCTATACAAAACGTTCGTGTATTCGTTTAATAATGTAAATCAAATATTTACGTTATTTTAATATTATTTATTTAAGTACATTTTAAAACGTTGTTATGTAACTGTGGTTCTACCGAGAGTTTTTTTTGTTTAATATACGTTTAATAGTAACGTTATTGTATCGGAAAATTTATACGTTTGGTTTATATTTTTAACTAAAAATAAACGTTATTTTAATATTAGTTAATTAAGTATATTTTAATATTTATTTAATGTTGTTATGTAAAGGAAAGTTATAAAATTTTGTTAAATGTACATATAACATTAACGTTAATTTAAATTAAATATAATTCATATACAGTGGGCCGTACAATAGGCAGTTAAAATGAAATCTTAGTTTACACTGTGAAACTCGTTGTATAATCATCGATTATTGTTAAACATAATTTTTAAAAATGACATTTGTATTTTAAATATAACCAGTTAAAAATTAAACTCCTGTTATTTTTTTAACGTTGTTTTGCATTTGTAGTTCTACCGAAGTAAAAATTTTGTTAAATATACGTGTAATATTATCGTTAGTTTAAATAACATAAAAGTCGTAATAAAAATTTTAATGTATCGTTATATTTTAAACTAAAAATTAACGTTGTTTTAATGTTTATTATTTATCTATGTTAATATTATTTTTAAACGTTGTTATACAACTAAAAATTGATAATTTTGTTAAATATACATACAATATCAACGTGTTCGTTTAAATTAAATGCAAGTCTTAGAAAACGTTATTGAATTCCAACCTTTTAACATTTGGTTAATAACGGAAACTAAATATCTACGTTGTTTCAATATTGATTACTTAGTATATTTTAATATTGTTTTTAAACGTTGTTATGTAACTAAAAGCCGATAATTTTGTTAAATGTACGTATAATATTAACGTTAATTTAAAATAAATATAAGTTATATATAAAACTTTATTGTATTTAAACCTTTTAACGTTCTAAGAGAGGGCGCACCGAAAAACTGAGTGTTCCAACTCTCTAAGTCGTAAGCGATACAAATAATATAACGAAACTTTATAAATGGTAGTTCAGTCAAGACAAAAGAAGCAGATTCATGTTTATATAGATATTTGACGGAGCCCTAAACACATTTCTAAAAATAAACAAAGTCCTTCCCTTTTGTGGCGATAGTACTGCTTTTTTTATGACTATTATTTTCTTCGC